TGGCTCTAGCCAGTAGTCTGGCTGCTGCTGCATTTTGAACCAGCTGAAGTTTCTGAACCGTCTTCAAAGGCAGCTCCACATAGAGCATGTTACAGTAATCCAAGCAGGATGTAATTAACGCATGCATCACTGTAGCCAAATATAAGCTGTGGTTACCACTTCTTCATAACTGATGAGGATTGGCCACAATTTGAGAGGTATGAGTAGAAATAATTGTGAAGGGGTAATGTTTATATTTCAAGCTTTCAGAATGTGTTTTGTTTTAAAGGGGTGGGATGCTTTAAAAATTTGGCAGTAGACTTGATTGGTAAGTGGCTTCATAGAAATACAAATTTTAAACTCAGTGTTTACTAATTAAAGTAAAGCATTGCTGTAACATGTTTGTGGCTATACTTTGTTGCACTGACTCTCAAGGATGTTATAATTGTCCACTGGCAGAAGGGTGGATTGATTCCTTTGCCAATGTAAAAAATGAACCAAAAGCATATCCTATTATGGAGGAATTCCAACTATATTCCTATACAGAACGAAGGAACTGTAGAAATGCAATGGTCTGATATACCAAGAGCACCACTGCAGTCATGAGCTGGTGCATCTGACTCAGAACAGTGGGAGGGAGAGGAAGCTTGCTATAGAAAAAAAAATGTAGTTTAGAATTTAATTAACAGCCTTTCTATGTTTTTTGCCAAGTGGAAAAGGTTCTTCCTGGATAGCAGAATGGCTTCTTTGCCCAAACCAATGGCCCATAAAATTCAGAGCCCTTCCTTTGTGTCTGGTCTTGGTAGCTCAACCTGCCACCCAGAGTGTTCCTGTTTATCTCTTTGTTTAGAGAGGTAATCCTATTACCTATGAAGTTCCTCCAGGAAATTACTCCCAGAGGGGTAGCCCTGTTAGGCTGTTGCAACAGAAACAATAGAGAGACTTGTGGCACCTTAAAAGACTAACACATGTATGGGGACCTAGGCTTTCAGAGGCCAAAGCCCCCTTTTAGATGTGCCGGACAAAAACTCAGTGCCACAGTAAAGTTTGCGAGCATTCAAAGTGCCACGCCTGCTCTTGGCTGTTCAAGAAATAGTCTGCCTCTTTGTGCAACTTAGGTGCTTAACTTTCACTGAAAGTGGAACTTGGAGATTGATTTAAAATGATGTCATTCATCCGTCACTTTGACTTTGTGTTTTATTTCTGTCCCCCACCCCACCCCCAGGCTGCCTGAGGAGTTCTGCCTTTTTTTTTTTAATGTGCCTTTGATTAGGCTGAGACTTATCCCAGGCAGCTGGACTGATTATGTGGAATTACAGCGGAAAGTACCCTGCTTTCCTTCTCCCTGTGAAAAGATGGATCTTAACCACACGGTTGTAATTCTTTGACAAAAGCCACTTGGGCAGCTGTGCTCAGGTACCTGGGAGCAAGGCGCCCAGACAGTCAGCAGGAATTCCTTCTGAGTAGGCCTGGTGCTGAGCAACAGTCTTCTCAGTCCTGTTGGTGCGCCGCCAAACTTTAACTGAATTCACTTACATTTGTTTTCCATTATATATTATTGTTTGTTTTACTTATATGCCACCTTTCTCCCAGTTAAGGAACCGAAGGAGGCTCACAGTATTAAAAAGAAGAGAATTAAAAGCATAATAAATTAAACATTAAAAAACAGTTAAACTATATGTGAATTAAAATACAACTGAATGATTAAATGCAAATAAACATTAAAAGCCATCTTAACTCTTAGAAGGGCTCATCCGTACTGCAGTGTTGTCTCCAGTCATTCTAGGGGAGTTCTGTTCCTTTGGTTTGTTTGATTTTTGTTTTGTTTTTTTGTTTGTTTTTTATGACAGATTGGAATAGGTTAGTGTCCACAACTGGGGAGAGTATTTGTTGCTGGGTGTGCTGGGTTGTCCTGGCATGTACACCCAGTACACCCAGAAATCCAGGGAACTAATTTCCAAGGTCTCACTCTCGGGGCAGATTGTCTTCCCTTTTTGCCTACCTTCTCTGCCCCCCTCCCCAGTTACTTCACTCTGACTGCTCTTCCCTCCCAGTTTTATCTGTTTACTGTTCTCCGACCACCAGTGTTTTCCCCACAGTCCTTCCTAATTTTCATTTATTTAATTTAATTTTTTTCCTTTTCTGTTATGGTGCAAAAGTGGAAGTATTAAAAAAATTATTGAAAGGGAAAACACAGCCAAAGCTGAGGTCTTTCCCTGCCTTCTTCTTTCTTTCCCTTGTGAGGAGGAGGATAGAGAACCAGCACAGAGTGAGCCGTCCCCTCACGTAATTGAGATAGAATCAGAGGGATCAATGAAATCTGAGAGGAAAAGACAAGCAGAAGAGATAGAGGAAAGTCGTGAGGTGAAAGTAGAGAGAGCTCAAGAGGAAGGTGTGCTCACGAAGGAAAGACAGTTGAGACTGTTAGAAAGACCTGAGGCAGGAGACAGGAGAATACAGTTGAGACTGTTAGAAAGACCTGAGGAAGGAGACAGGAGGTCGGTTTACCGTGAGAGGGAGAAAATAGATATATTTGTCGGTGTACCGGGAAAGGGAGAAAGTACCGGTAGAAAGACCCAAGGCAGGAGATCTGTGTACCGTGAGAGGGAGAAAATAGATATATTTTTGACTACAGAGGAAGGAGCTATTTCTAGAGAAACGGAGAAGATGTCCGTCTTTAGAGAGAGTCTGCAGAGAATCTGATAAGTAAGGAAGACGAAAGCCGAGCTTACACTAAAATAAGACCCATCATCCCTGGTTTAAGTCCGGAAGAATGGACTGTATTGGTGTACCCGAAGAAACAAGGTCCAGCACGTCTGGTACATCACATCCCACCAGAAATAGAGAAAGAAGTCCTGAGAGAGGGAGATTGGGCCTGCCACCCATGCTGCGGGACTTTGTGTGCGGTCAGAAACAACTTTCTGAGACAGCCAACGGAGGAAGAGAAAAAAGCAAAAACTTATTGTTAAAAGATTTAAATGAATGAAAAATCCCTGTTGTGGTTTTGGGAGAGTTCTCCTCCCCAGTTATCTGTTCAAGGTTCTGTTGTTTGTAACCAAGAAGTAAACACATCTGTTAATAAAAATACTTTATTTTGTAATTCTGACTCTTCATTCGTGTCATCTGAAAGAGCAACGCCTAAAGATAATAGAGAACCTACTCACATCTCTGTTTTATCCACCCACTGTTTTTCTACCTTCACATTTTCACCACAAGGCTTTCTAATTTACTTTTTAAAAAATTAGTTCTCACTTTTGCACTATTTTGTTTTATGGTGCAAAATCGATAGCATTAAATTAAAAGAAAGAATGCAGGAAGAGCTGATGTCATTTCTGCCCTCTCTTCTCCCTTCTCTCCTTGTTTCACCTCCTCATGTTCTCAGACCTTCACATTTCAGCTGCAGTGCTTTCCAATCTTTTTTTTTTTTCATTTTCGTTTTTGTACTCTGCTGCAAAAAATGATAACAGCAGAACACTGGAAGAGCTAATATTTTGAGAAAACCAACCAGGAGCAGCAGTAAGGAGGGATGGAGACTGAACAGCAGAAATACACCCAAAAGGAAACATAGCACCCATGAAGTGTGCAGAATCGGCATGCCACAGTGTGCTACAAGGGTCCATATGAGTAGATTGTGCTCTGGAGAAAACCAGAGCAAAGCAGAACACAAGTACATCACCCCCTGGCAGTAGTGTTTTTTTTTTAAAAAAAACCTGGAAAGCAGGGTAGGGGTTGTTTTGTTCTGCTTTGACTCTTAAGAGTAGTTTCTGTCTTTGTTGTGCGGACACCACAATGCAGTACTGGTATCGAGGTGCAAAAAAGAAAAATTTCAACAAATTATGCCTGTGGATATGACCTATATCCTAATTCTCAGCCCAGATTTGTTTTTTTATGGAAATACCTAATGTCTTTTTTGTTCAAAGTATTTGTCTTTGGATTTTAAATACTCTTTGTTTTTTCATTCAACATATAAATATTTGCCATATTATATCTTTCTCTTATGTCTGACAAAGTGGACTTGTCCACGAAAGCTCGCATTAAAATATATATATATGTATATAAAACAGTTGGTCTTTAAAGTGCCATAACTTTTCTGTCTTTTTTATTTTATCTTTTTATTTATTATTTTCTTTTTACATGTAAAAATTTGTTAGGAGTACTAGTACCTCTCACTACAGACTGAGGAACAAAAGACATCTGTACTACTCAGAGAGGAATGTGACCTTGTCCTTGAAAAACAAAACCTGCCGTTCTCCTTCCTGAATCGTGTTCTTTACAGTACAGTATATTCCAGGGTCCTGCTTTTTCATAAAATGCATAGAAAACCTGTAATTTAGTATTTCATTATTGTTGTTGTAAACCTGGATGGTTCCTCCATAATTTCATCTGGTTCTCTTTTTCATCAGTACCAAAACAATAAGACTCCTGCCCTTGGAAGGCTGTTTTGAAATACTTATTATTTTAAACAGCTTTCTGAGAAATAATGATGTTCTAGAACAGAACATCAAGCTTACCAAACATCTTTATTTTCCTATATTGCATGTCCAACTATTGCTATTACTGCTAGATTAACTTTCTTTATGGGAAAGCTTGGAACTCATTCAGTTGTCCTTTCACTCCATGGGAGTTAACAACTTAATCTGTGGGTTAACAGTATTATCAACCCTTTAAAATATACAGTTAAATTTTAGTAGTGATGTCTTAGCTTGTTCCCCCTTGAGGACTCCCCTCAAAATATGCTTGTTATATGTTCTGTGCCATCAGGTCATGTCCAACTTACAGTGACCCTTGTAGGATTTTCAAGTTATATGAGCTGTTTAAGGTGTTACCATTGCCACACCCAGTGAGTTTCCATGGCCAAGTGGAGATTCAAACTTGCATCTCCCGAGTCCTTGTCCTTCACTACCTTCATTACATACACCACATGGGCTCACGGAATGTATTATTTGCTGTTCGGTATTCCTGTGATGAAAAAAAAATGATTCATTTGAAATGTGGTGCTGGAGGAGAGCTTTGCAGATACTCTGGACTGCCAGAAAGATAAGCAAGTGGGTCCTAGATCAAATCAAGCCTGAACTATCTCAGGAGGCAAAAAACATTGGAAAAACTGAAGCTGAGATTGTCCTACTTTGCACACATCATGAGAAGACAGGATTGTCTGAAGAAGACAATAATGCTGGGAAAAGGTGAAGGCAGCAGGAAAAAGAGGAAGATTAATTGCAAGATAGATGGGAACAAGCTAAGACATCACTACTAAAATTTAACTGTATATTTTAAAGGGTTGATAATACTGTCTTTAGGAAGCCAGAGGCTTGAGTTTACAAGAACTGAGCAGGGCAATTGAGGACAGAGCCTTTTGAACATCGCTCAGTCATAGAGTTGTCACGGGTCAGAGGTGATTTGATGGCACATAACAGCAACAGCAGATTCATATGGCGCAATAAATGAGAGGCATTGCCTCAATATGCATTGAAGGTGAGGAGGACAGCTGGAGAGAGTATTGAGATTGCTGGGAAATGGAGATGGCAGGGGATTGAAGCTGGGACTTCCTGGCCGTTGTATGCAAGGCAAGCAGCATAGATCTTTGAAGACCACATTCCGTGACTCTAAATGGATAGGAAGAAAGAGGATGCAGTTACTCATAGCGATGAACAGAGTTCTGCATATTCTCAGAGCCAAACTATTTCTGCTTAAGATTTCTATCCCCTTGATTTTCCAAATAATCTTGATTCCTGTTAACAGCTATGCATCAGTATTGCTATTGATGGGGGTCCTTTAACAATGACAAATATTCATTATTCACCTCTTCCATTTAAGACAAATAATGCACAGTGTCTGGGAGGTGAACAAACAACGTACATGTTGATGGGGATGGAACAATGGGAGATGCAGTTTGTGACAAACTTTAATTGAACAAATTGTTAGAGCTCATGCTTAGGGACAGGTTTGTTTAACTCAGCTGTTTCCAGATGTGTTACATTGTTAAATCTCAACATCCCCAGTGGTTAATCAGATTGTAGACTTTGAAGTCCTATGTATCTGGAAAGTGCCAGGTTGGGGAAGGCAACTAGAAGTCTACAAAAAAGGAGTACTTCTGAAGAAGTCACAGTGGGTCATCAAGGGGAAATTGTGACAATGAATATTGCAGTAGTTTATTTAAAAAAAATTAACCAATTCATCAAAGGTACCCTGTTTCCCCAAAAATAAGACCTAACCTGAAAATAAGCCCTAGTATGATTTTTCAGGATGCTCGTAATATAAGCCCTACCCCCAAAATAAGCCCCAGTTAAGTGAAACCCCACCCTGCACCATTGTGCAGCAACCAGAAGAAGATGACCTGACTATATTTGAATAAATGTAGAATGTTGTACTTGAAAAAAAATCCCCTGAAAATAAGCCCTAATGCATTTTTGAGAGCAAAAATTAATAGAAGACCCTGTCTTATTTTCAGGAAAACACGGTAATATAGTGAATTGAACCCGACCTCTGCCAATATTAACAGCGAACTAATCTTTCCATGTCTAACCACTAAAAGTAACAAATCAGTTTTAAAATCTTCTTTTACAAACTTTGTGCAGTTGTCACTAGGTGAGCATTAGAATGGCTATCCTTTCTCATGAGTAACCCATTGATTATGTGTCTCAGCAATTAACTAGCAGTTGATTTCGTTGATTGTGAACCCAACTGTGAGATATTTCAGTTATCACACAAACAAGAAGCATAGAGCTTGGAAAAGCAAATTTTGGAAACTACAACTCCCAAAATTTCTCAGTCTTCACATATACCCCCCAAAACCCCAAATACCTTTTCAGATAAAGAAATGAAACAAAAAACGAAAAGGGAATTAATGTTACAGTAGCGGTGATGTCATCTGCCCGTCATTGCTGTGGCTGTATGTCATCCGCCAATAGCGTGACGGGAGGTGGGACATAAGAGGGTGGAGCTAGGGTATTTAAGGGGGAGTGAATGAGGTATGAGTCAGATAGGGACTTGATAGGGTCTGGTTAGGGACTTAGGGAGTTAGGGCTTGTACATGTTGTGTAGTACTGTGCTATATATATATAGAGTGAAGGTCTGAGAGAGAGTATGTGTGTGGGTACTTTATTATACTGATTGCCTTTTATTTTAATGATTATAGTGATTTGCCATTCCTTTTGTTATTATCAATAAACATAAGTTTTTATTTTAAAAATCATACTTTTGTCTGAAGAGTCTTATAAGGGAATGGTTGGTGGCAGCGTGAAATAAAGTGAGTGTGAGTGTGACATGGCAGCTCCTTCATGACGTGAGAAGAGGCTGTCACAATAAACAAATTTGCAAGATGGTGATCTGGAAAGATTTATGTTCCACCTGCAGAACCCTGTTTGTATTTTCTGTATCTGCTACTGGGTGCAGAAACCCACAACATCAGGCTACTGCTAACAGGAACCTGCAACAAAGACCATCTCTTAACCCAAGACAAAACAGAAAAAAAATGGGGGGGGGAACGATCCATCCTGCTACTACAGAGGGAAGAGTTGAACTCCGACTATGTATAGGAATATGAAGGAAAAGCAGCCAGGTACTGTATGATGACTACAGTAAGGAATAAACAAACACATCGGTGTTTCTATAGCAAGCTGTAAAACAACTGAATAACCATGAAATACTACGACTTCTCTAGTCCAGCTAACTTCCTGTTTATGAGAACTGGTGATGGTCATAATGTTGGCATCCTGAATCTTTGCCTTCACTTGCTCTCCATGTAAATGATGGCACTAATGGCATGAGTGGGCTTGTACAGTATAATGCACTTTGTGGTGTCCAGATAATACCCTGCTGTGCAGAAAAGAGAAACACACAAACGAACACACACACACATGTACATGCACCACATCAATTCCTTTCCCCAATAATGTAACTATAACTGAGTTACATTATCACAGTAACATCATGCCACCTTTGTGCCTTGCAGAATCCAACAGAGTTCACAACACATTTCAAAAACATAATTATAGTAGTAAAACTATAGTGAATTGGTTTTCACATTAAAAAGGAACACACACACACCACATATATTCCTTTGCCCAATAATGTAAATGTAACTGATTTACATTATTACATTTACACTGGTGCCTTGCTAGACGATGATAATCTGTTCCACTGAAATCGCTGGTTAGCGAAATCATTGTCTAGCGAAAAGCTAATCATCGTCTAGCGAAAATCAGTTTGCGAAGCAGGGACCAAACATTGTCCAGCAAAATTCCCCCATAGGAATCACTGTTTTGCGAATCGCTATAGCGATCGCAAAAAGTCAGTGTCTACTGAAAAAACTGTCATGCGGGGTAACTGTCTAGCAAGGCACCACTGTATTCTTTTCCCCAATAATGTAGTTGCAAATGAGTTATGTTATCATAATAACATCACGAGAGACAATTCTGTTACTTTCATGGTATAACCCCCCTCCAAATTCTTTTTCAGTTACATGAGGCTCTCTCTCCACCTGTAAGGTCATCATCCCATTCCATCCTGGGATGGAATTCCACAATTCCTTCTTGAATTGTGGAGGAAGAATCTCACATGGCTCAAGTGCTACCTCATGCTCTGTATCAAGTGTTGAAGTAACAATGGCCTCAGGACAGGAGAGTGAAATTTGTACCATAGGGCAGTGGCTTACAGTATTCCAGTGTGTTTTAACTAAATAAAATGGTAACAATTTCAGTTACCTTTAAAAAATGCAAGGAAGTGATGAGTTACTTTATAAAAGTGTAACTCTAATGATAACTAATTCTGATGGGAAACCTCGGAAGTACAATTGCAACTGGATACATTAGAAGTAACTCTCAGGGCTTTGCTGTGCATTACATTGTAATTAGTATGCTTCCTGGAGGAAAAGAAAGGAACACGGGGAACAGAAACGTAACTCACCTGGAAATTCTGACCTCTGGATTGATATCAGGCCAACAGCAGGCAGACCCCATCTAGACTCAGTCACTGCCAAGTGCATTCTTAATGGACCACTGTTTTCTTGAGCACCCATCAACTTCCACAGCTGCCAGCTCCTTCCCCCAGTCGTGGTCTTCAATCAGTTCCATCGCTTTGATGCAGGCTGACAGATTCAACAGGCTCTTCTGCCAGTCCTGGCAGAGTGAAAAGCTGCTGGGTGGAGTTTTCTGCTCCTAAGCAAAGGAACAGAAACTGATGGCAGGGAACATTTCAGAGGCTCCTATGCATAGGCAAGGTCATTCCGGATGGAATGGGATGATGACCTTACAGGTGGAGAGAGAGGCTCAAGGAGGGCAAGCGATTTTCGGTGGCACTGCTTTGAGCAGCACTCTGTGGGCTCCAGGTAATAGCCAGCCGTAAAGAAAAGAGGAGACAGAAATGTACTTTCAAATCACAGGGGTCAGGAAATTAGACTAGAGCTCAAAAGAACCCAGGGTTAGATCTCCACATAGTGATCAAGCTCACTGTGACCTTGGCAGGCTAGTCATAGTCAGAATCCCATTGGAGCTGTACTTGGGCAGCCAAACATGTGAATGGCAACCCATTAATTAGCAGCTGTTCACTGCCCCATTTTGAGAGTCCCCTGGACTGCAAGGAGAACAAATCTATCCATTTTAAAGGAAATCAACCCTGAGTGCTCACTGGAAGGACAGATCCTGAAGCTGAGGCGCCAATACTTTGGCCATGTCATGAGAAGAGAAGACTCCTTGGAAAAGACCCTGATGTTAGGAAAGTGTGAAGGCAAGAGGAGAAGGGGACAACAGAGGATGAGATGGTTGGACAGTGTCATCGAAGCTACCGATATGAATTTGACCCAACTCCGGGAGGCAGTGGAAGATAGGAGGGCCTGGCGTGCTCTGGTCCATGGGGTCACGAAGAGTCAGACATGACTAAACGACTAAACAACAACAAAAATACATCCACAACAGGATGCCTGCTTGTGGGTCTTATTGCATGGAGGACAATCCTCGAGCTGAACAGAGGACAATCCAACTCTCAAACAGCAGTTTTCCTGTTTGAAAGGTTATCTCCCACACAGTTTTTGTCACAGACAACATTCAGTCCTCTTTGCTGGCGATGTCTTTTCTTGGCAGGTAGAATTGAGAAGGGGCCACCCTGAGGTTTGGAGGGCACTCCCTTGCTGTCATCCTGCCTCTTTCAGGGGTGGCTGTCACCATAAAATGGAGAGATAGAGGAAGCTGCCCTGCACTCTTTGAAAGGAATGTTGAATGGGAATTAGCCATTGTTCTTTCTTCGTTTGTCCCAAGTACCCGTATGATCAATAAAAGTAACCCTAGATTTAGTTTAGCTCTTGTGGGATGCTTCCAAAACAGATAATCAGAGAGTGGAAAGTTACATTCTTGGGCTGCAGTTTCCAGACTCCTTCCTCACCCCCAGTGATGGCTATTGGAGTCATACTGATTGAAGGATACTGGGAAATGTAGTCTCAAGAAGCGACTTCAAGCTTTAGTTATTACAGTTTTCTGCAATAGCTTGTCTATAATCTCAGAGGTTTTGCATGTCCTAAAATAAACCTATATAAAACAGTTGTCAAATAATGAATATTGTACCATCTCTTTTGTCTATGGCTGAAGGAACCCATCTCAAGCCCAAAGAAACCCAGAATGCTTCGCCACTCACCTCTGGTAAGGGAATGGGCATTGCCCTACATCTTATAATTTCAATCCTAATTTTCAGAAAAGTAAAAATGCAATCCTGTATGCCTCCCTAAAGTTAAACTTCACTAGTTGAAGTCCTATTGCTTAGCATAGTTCAGTCATACAAGAGTAGGCTCATTGAATCAGTGGGACTTAAGAAAACAGTGACACAGCAAACCCCCACTGATTCAATGGGCCTACTCTAGTGCTACTTACTATGCTAAGCAACGGGGTTTCAGGCACTGAGTTCCATGAGGCTCACTCCAAGGCAGGTAAATATATGATTGCAGCCTGATGTATCATGTAGGCTGCTTTGAACTCAGTCAAGAAGATTATACTTATAAAATGAACAACTGTCTCCAAGTCTAGGCTGGCTTCAACAACATTGACTTGTCAAGAGGCTCTTAGTTGCAATAGGGTCATTCTTGGAGACCATGCCAGGAAGAACCTGATGCAGAACTCTGAAAAACTCACTTCTCTTCCTCTCTGCTCATGTGCATATGCACACCTATTCAAGCAGCGGTTCCCAACCATGCGTATCCCAGGTGCTCTTGGACTGCAATTCCCAGAAACCTTCACCACCAGCTATGCTGGCCAGGATTTCTGGGAGTGGCAGTGCAAGAACATTTGGGGATCCAAGGTTGGCAACCACGGATCTAAAGCATGGAAACTTTTGTTCTCCAGGTGTGTTCAATTTGCAAATTCCAGAAGTCCCAGGTAATGGATCCTGAGATCTGCAGTCCAAAACATACGGAGGGTCAAAAGTTCCCCAACTTTACTGTAAGAGCTTCAGTGGAAGCTGCAGCCTCTCAAGCCACGGTGGACCAAGGGCAGGACTGGCATCTGGAGGTGTCTCAATTATCATTCCCCCACCACTTCATAATTATACATGCTGTACAATCCCTCCTCTCCTTTTGTAATATTGTTCATGACATGCACCGATTTCCTCCAGATGACTTAGTTATAAAATTAGAATAGAAAGGATATCATGGTAGAGTTAGAAAAGTGTCCTTATGTCCACCTTTGGCTATAGACTACATGCTATAGCCAAAGATGTAGGTCACCATCATCTAAAACACACTACAAAGGCTAAAGTTAAGGTGTTGAATCCAAACCTAAACACACCTGGGCATAGTCACACCTAGACTAGACATATTGGCCCGTATCCTGTTCACCTGTTCATGCTGGTCTAATATGAAGTCATGCCAGCATAAACACGTCAGTTGTTACGCCTGGCAACAAGGAATTGTGCAATGGAATTGCACAATCAGTCACATCACTGGTATGACTAATTGTGCCATGTACTGGTAGAAGTGCTTCGGGAATAGCACTTCTGCCTTGGCACCAGCACAATTACCGGGCGCAAAACCTTGAGTTGCAGACATGTAGTTGTGCAGTAGGATTTTGGCCATCAAAGCTCCTCAGCCGGAGGGTCAAAACTGGGAAAAGCTGTGCACACAGCAATGCAATTGATGAGTGAAAGCCAGTACATATTCTGGTGTGCTGTGGGTTTAAGACCTCAGTGTGACAAATTCAGTTGTATTTTCCAGCTGCTTCAGTGAGACAATTTGGAGGAAACAATTCCTACCACAATTGCTTGTAAGGCTCTCTAGAACACACACCTAAACTCCTATGCCCATATCCCAGGAACACCTACCTTGAGTTTAGAGTAACAACTTGATACCTTTCTTCAGAAAGCTCTGAGGACCACTGAGTGGGAGGAGAGGTGGGCTTCCATCATAAGGCGCTCATTATGACATCATGGCACTTAGCTTTCTTGTCAAGTCTTGGGGGAGGGAAGAGAAAGAGGCAAAAAGGGAGGATTAGATGTTGCTTTTATTTAATCCTAAGTGAAGGGCTGGAGGGATATCTGGTCCTCCAGGTGCTGTTGAACTGCAAACACTCATCATCCCTCGGGATGGGATTTTCGGCTTCTTTGAACTACAAATACTGTAATTCTCCATTGTGGATTTACCTACCTTACAAGCACCTTTGAGGCTTAGCTCTGCCCAGGTGTCCTGCTCAGAAAGCAAGCTCCTAACTAGCACCAGAGCAGGAACAGGACATTGGGACAGAGCTTAACCTGGCGATGACTCAAAGCTTTCTAATTCTGGTCTTTCTCCCAGGTGCATCACATTCAAGTATTTGCAAGATCCATGTAAAGTAGGTAGAACTCCCCTAATGGATCATTAATTTATTTATTTTTTCGATTTATATCCCATCCATCTGGTATATTCTACCACTCTGGGCGGCATTTGTAATTTGTAATTCTGAAAATCCGAAGTGACCTTGGCTAGGTTTGATGGAAGTGGCAGTCCAGCAACATCTGGAGGGACTATATGTTTCCCCAACCTTGTCTAGGGTGATTTAGGAGAAAACATGCACAACTAGATAATCACCACAACATTCTTTAAGAATACCCAGCCATGTGTGCATGAATACAAAGGCACAATGCACCATCCTTTCTCAACCTGCAGCTCACAAACCTAATGATCAGAGAAAGTGCCTTCAGCCCAAGCCAAGGGACCACATTCTGGTGGCCCTCAAATGTGTTGAACTGTAACGCCTATCATTTCCTGAAGAACGTGGCTAATGGTCATTATCAAAATAGATAAGCCATTTTCATCAATGCACATTAGAGATGGATGCTTCATGCTTTGTATAGCTTTGCACATAACAGAGGACCACAGGTGGTGATGAGTTCCATCTCCCTCCCCCTAGGCTGCATGGTCCACTTACTGGGCCAGCCTTTCCCCACCTCCTCAGGCAGCCGACCACTCATCAGCTGTGAAGGTAGACTCCCCATCCCGCCTCCTCGCCAGAGTAGTTGGCTGCCTGAAAGCATGAAGCACCCACCTCTAATGCGCATGGTCTGCCAGTTGCACTTTTAGTGCCCAAAGTTTGACTTGCATCTTACTCTGTCAGATGTTCTGTTGTGTGAAGTCCACAAACCTGCATGTCTGCCTAGCCTAAGAGAATGGCAACAGATGTAGAAGACAAAGCACACTTACTTGATCCTGGTTAGGGATGCAAAGGATAATTACTGCAGGATAAATGCAGAAAGTTTTCAGCTGCTGAGGATGGAATACATGTCAGAAAGCCTCATTAAACAGAACCAGTAACACCAGCTTCAAGAGGCTGCCCATCAGTCTATGTATTATGATTCTGAACCCATGACCACCTTCGATACACTGAAAAAACGGTGTGATTTCTATAAGCTCTTCCTTGCAGGATCCCACAGCTCTTACCATTTGCAAATGTCTTTCAACTCACATCTTTTTTTTTAAACTGTGGGGAGAGCGAATGCAGAGGACCAGAAGGAAAACATTGTTCTGTGAATGCAAACTCTGATCTACTCAGAAAGGAAGTTAAGGTCCAAGCCAAAGCTTCCAGATTCTCCTGTGCTACATGATTTGGCTTAACTGTGCTATCTAGGGGGTTTAAAAATGTAAGCTTCTACTTAGAAGGGTACAGACAATTTAAGCTGGAAGGAGGGCTGGCTATGGGTCTCTACATTCAATCCCACGTGAACCTACCAAGAGATAGCCATTTGTTGCAGCAAAAACAGCTAGGAGTCTTGTGGGCCCTTAAAACATCAATGTTTTATTTGGCATAAACTTTCAGGGACTATGGCTCATTTCTTCAGATGTCACAAAACTCATTACTTCTGCAAAATCACCATGGTTTGGTCTTTCTCTTTTCAAGCATCTTCCATTAACTAATAGCTGCTCACAGCTCAAGAAGGAATCGACATTCTGTTTTCAGCATTTTCAATTAAGTTACTAAACACTGTTCTCTAAGTGATCATACACAGGATTCTGAGGGACTTGAGTCTGTTATGGGTGGAGTCGTAACCATCTATTATGCCAAATGGCTTTAGCTTTATAGATTAGTAAGAGCACCTAATATCGCCATGGCAACACATACCAAAATGCCTCCGGGTGGCTTAGAGCCCACAAGACAAAAGAAAAGCGACTGAGAATGAAATGAACACTAAGTGAAGGTTACAGTTCCTACAGGTTTCCAGGCTGTTTAACGAACAGTTATTGGGAAGTGACAAAAACGTAACAGACAAGATGATTTGCACATGTATGATGGTAGGAGTCTTCGTCCAAACCAAGCACAAGAGAGGCAGTTTTAACCTGAAGCCTTGGGGGTGTGGGGCTGTAAACAAGAAAGGTCTGAAGAGAAATGGAAAAACTAGACTGTGAAAACCACCTAAACAGCAGCCATTAAGCAATTTTGAATATTAATGCACACATCTCTGTGTAGATGAGCTGATTAATCCATCTAGGAAGATGTTTATATAGCAAAACTGTGGATAGCAAGACATAAGGACTAGGGAAAGGAATCCCTGATGATGCAAGATCCTCCCTTCACTTGCCCTAATATCAACTTAAAGTGTTCTTCAGTAACCATGACTCCAATTCAATATCCAAAACATTTCAAATACAGTATAGATGTTCACATTAACTTATCTGCCTCTGGCTCCTGCTTCTGGGACTTTTCTAGTAGGTATAGCCTTAATCTCTTTAAATTCCGCCCATATTGCTGAACCCTTGGCAAGTTAGCATGTATCCTCCTCTTTACTGCCAATAGCATGGCTACTCCTACTCCAGTGCAGGGAAAGTGGTAGAAAGAAGTATATAAATATATGTATGTGTGTGTGTAATTCCTTTTAGGGAGAGCTGAATTACTGTAGATCTGTGGCCATCTTAAAAATAAGGCTAAGTATTTGTATGGAAACGCTTGTGCCTACAGAGCTAGAGCCCAAACCTTGCTGTTAGCAAATGTACTAACCGAGGCAAGTATTGGAATGATTGTGCTTGTGTGTCTCAAGTTTCATTGCCATGCTTTTGGACTCGTACTCTACCAAAGTGTTATAAAGCAGAGCATTTGAGAATAATGTGTCAACATGACCTAGAAAACAGGACGGTGATGATGACTAACACAGCTAGTAGGAAGCACTGCAGTGAAGACTCGGCCTCTTAATTGATATTTAATCTTAAAAAGAATAGCTGTGCTACTCAGCTACAGCAAAAATCTGAAGACATTTGTGACTGACGACCAAGTGACAAATGTACTGCGATTTTGTACTTTGAGGTTTGCAGAACTAAGCAAAGTACTTTCAAAGAAGCATTTAAAATCCAGACTTTAGAAGTGTTAAATCCACTTATAGACCTATGCTACATTGTGGAACACCAAAGACACAGGCTGAGGCCGTTTCAGAGAGTCAGTGTGGTGTAGTGATGAAAGGGTGGACTGAGACTGGAGCCATGAAACTCCCTGGGGGAGGTCTCACACCCTGACATTCTTCATTGGACTGTTATGAGGACAGAATGGGGAGGAAGCGAGCCGTGTATGCTGCCTTGAACTCACTGCAGGAGAGGTGGGATATAAACAGGTCAGAAGATAAATTAGCATTCTGTCCCAAATAATGAAAAGCATCACTGATGAGCAACAGCCGCTTGCCAGTGCTGTAAACCCTCCCCCAGGTAAAAATAAAATCAGGAATCCAAGACATATTCTTAAATATGGTTTAATACTCTTCTCCATTTTCTGTACATCACAACACCAAGATATCACTGCTTGGGAGCTCTCAGAAGAGGCTACGTAGTATGCAAAAGGCTAGGATTCTCACCCTTTTAATGTGTTTGTGTAAGTGTAATACATATCAGTATATATTGATATACACATCAATATATAATGCAATATATATCACCAGAGATAACACATTGATTAAAGAGATACAAAAATTTGGCATCATTTCCAAACTTAAATAGTAAAAATAAAACTACCAAAAAAAGGAGCTGCATACCCTAAATGTGAAACAAGCAGTATATTCAAAAATGTAAATTTACACCCAATTTTTTTTTCTGCTCTTGTCATATCATAGCAGACCCATTTACAATGGCACAATCCAAGTGTACTGCTTCGAAGAGCACAAGGATGCTTGTGATCAGGCGTTCTGCACATCATGTTGCATACTGTAACAGATTCCACCCAACGTGAACACTTCTTGTGGGTCTTCACACCCCCTGCCTGTTTGTTGAGTTATAAAAAGATAAAAATTCTATTGCTCACATTGACAGAAAGTCATTTTTGGACCTCTTAAATACACACTGCAATGAGGAGGCTTAAATTAAGACAAACTCCCTTCAATTCAAGTGAGACAGGATTAACTGGAACGATATGCAAATCTTGCAGGTTGGGGTGCTCCTGACCGATGCAAGAATGACAAGACAAGACAAAAAAATGTGAACAGAGCTAGGCACTAGAATATCAAGAGTATCCTTTAGACAGACCAGCTAGTCCCAGGGGAAGGCAGGGAAGGGAGCTATCTGTCTTGCATGGGCTATGCCACAGTGTTGAATGGGAACCTTTGGCGCCAAACTTCTAGAAAAACTTACTAATTTCTACAGAAGCTTCACAGCCATCAGTGCCTCTATAGTCACATTTTTGCTAGCTACTTGCAGTTAAAAGCAGGTTGCGAAATTCTGACACTGACCCACCAAGGCAGCTTTTGCAGTCCCCCAAAGCAAAACTAAAAACCCACGCCCTAATAAATAACAGAACCAAGCATACATAGAATTAACTTGCTTGTGGAAATTGTTTATTGACTGACAAAGAGGGAGAAGTGAAGGCCACACAACTCATTATCCCAAACTTGCTGAGACCCTGGCATTTTGATTGCCACTAATGAAACATCCTGATTGATACAAGCAGTGCTTTTGCAGTCTAAAGATGAAACAGGTGGACTTCCCAGACTGACTG